CATGAAGATGATCAGAGGACTGGAGAGGATGTTATAATTGGGAACCAGTACCAAGGAAATATTACAGTCCTAAATTTGAGGTTGGCATTTAATGTGAGATTGAGGAAGGAGAAGCATTTGTAAAATCTCAGCTCCCTCAAGTATTGGCTTTTTAGATGGGGATAAAGCTATACTTTACTAAATGTCATATCTCTGTTACTGCTTTATTCCAGAAAACTTTTAAATTTACCTTTAATTGTATTAGTCAACTTTCAAAAGGAAAAACTGCAAGTGTGTTATAGCATGGACTGCATTTTAAGTTCAGTGTTGGCTAGCAAAGGTGAAGACTGAGGAGATGAGTAAAGCTTTCTAATTAAAATTCAGTGCTCTTACTGCCAAGTGGTGGTGAGATTGCTGTAATGGTTAATTTCAGTGGCCGAGGCTTATTCAGAATGGTTTGTCATCTTTTTCTTTCCTGTGGTCTGCAGCAAAGCAAGGAGGATGTCTTGCTTTAGGTTATTTTTATTACCAGATAACCTAGTGGTTCCTCCCCTGAAATTAAAACAGTGAGGTTGTACAGTGGGGAGCAGGAGCCATAAAACTAGATGGTGAAGGTCTTGGCTTCATTCTTAAAAAACTTGTGAACCCCATGATGTGGGGGTGAGAGTTAGGTTGGGAGAAAACCCTTCGTCTTGCGTGACGTCTGATGCACTGTGTGGCCTGCTCACTGGCGCAGGCTGACAGGGGGGCGAGGTGAAGACCAGGCAGGGATGGAAAGGAGCTTGCCCCATGCCAGCCAGCGTGCCTGCAACACTGGGAGGTGGGAGACAGCATCCGAGTCCCACCTACTGTGTCCCCAGCTCCACTCCTAGAGCATTGTGTGTGGTGCTTTGAATCTCCAGGGTTTATGCTTTCCCATAATGAATGCTGTCAGCTTGAGAGATGGTCTTAATTGTTAGTGGAATGAAAACTGGGCAGAAAATGCTTGATGTGCAATACTGGGGGTGGTTTATAGCTCTTTGTTTCCCTGTCCCGCTGCCTTGGATACAGCTCGCATCGGCAGCACAGGAGAGTTCACTGACAAACTCCTGACCGGCTTCTTAACTGAAGTCGGCCCACTAGTCTTGAGTTTACTGAGGAGCCCTGACATGGTTAAGGGAAAGATACTGATGGCATTATCAGGACTTAACTGACAGGCAGCAGAGATACGAGAAAATATGTAATTAAGGTACCTCACAGGCAGCATAAACACGGGGTTAGCTTTTATTTTTTACTCCTGATGTCTATTATTATTACAATTCTTTTTGCCGCTGGTAATGACAGAATAACGGATGAAGCTGGAAATGGGGTAGATGCTTGCAGTTCAGCGCACTGCCGTGCTTCCTGTGGGCATCTGCAGGGCGGTTTCTGTCGCTTTTGGCAGTGTGCAGCCCAGTGGCTACAACACCTGGCTTCAGAAATAACCTCACTCCTGTTTCCGTACGCTTGAGTCTGACCTGTTGCCGTGTGCTGGGGAGGTTCCTCAGTCGCTTGCTTGAGGATGATGGGTCTGCAGTGATCTCCTGGAGTTCCAGGTCCGAGGGGAAGGATTGGATAACTTCACTCATTGTTTGAGTTGCTTTAGTAGCTTGGCATGGCCTAAGCAATCCCCTGGTGCTGGTGGGGCTGTGAGACAATGTGGAGGTCCTGGGTGTGTACTGGGAGGAGAATATGACACAGAAAGGAAGGTAAAGAGAGAAACAAATGGTTAGATTTAAAAAAAAAGAGGTAAATGTCGTGAAGCCATTGACTATCTGACAGCAATGACATCTGTCTGAGACAGGAGATTGACTCACAAGTCACTTTGCGTTGTAGGTGCTGCAGAGGTTCTGCTCGTAACTTCCCTGACAGTAAAATTTCGTACTCCTGTCTTTTCAGCTACCTGTCATATTTTCTCAGCAGAAAATAAAGACGTTGGAAATGATCAGTTTATGTTTAATCCGCAGCTGGCAGGGGAGGAATGATGCTGTGGGGACTCGGTGCAGGTTTTAAAAGTAGGACAGTAAAGGCCTCTGCAGCTACATCATGATAGGTTTGCTGGCTAGAGCTGTGTTTGTATTTGGACATCCTTTGTGTTCACCTAAGTTCCAACCATATCCATTCACCTCAGTCTTTACCTCTGCCCTGTACCAGTGCTTTTTTCTTTTTTGCCTCAGTAGTCCTTTACCACCAGCTCAGTGATCCTCCTCTGCCGAAGGAGGGTTCACCTTGGCCCCCCTCTAATCTCAGCATGCAACAGGTCACTTCAGATTACTCCTTGGGAGAACGGTTTCCTACTTGCAGCGTGCCTTGAGACCTGTAGTCCCTTCAAGAGCCCTGGGTCTCCTTGCTGCCTGTGGGTCTGGCCTGCAGTGCTGCGGTACAGAGACGAGCCGCTCTGGTGCTGTGCACAAGGACTCCTCTCAGTCTGGCAGTCAGGAATGCTGCTCTGCCAGGGAGGGATTGCTTTGCTTCTGGTTTAGCTGTCAGGGCAGCTGCATGCTGGCACTTAAAATAGGGACTCCTGTGTTCTTTTTATAAAGTCAGATGGTCCTCGACCCTTGTGCTTGAGCTGCTGACAGAAGATCTTGGTCTCATCTGTTTCCTTGAAATAATCTTCTGCTAGGTCACTGAGAAAAGAGATGTTATTGCTTCTCCTCTCCTGCTGCCTTCGTTTTGTAGGAGCTGTAACTTTCTACCTCTTTGGAGATGTTAAAAAAATTTTTTGAAGGTTCCTTCCCGGGTTTGGGAGCGAGACCTGCTAGCTAGAGAAAGGTGAGCTTGTTGCAACACTCCAGCAACTCCATGGAGTGATCATTGGAGCTTTGTATTTTAAGTTACAGCAGTATGCCCTGTGTTTCATGCTTCTGATCATATTCCTGTTGGTGGTAATGCTGGCTTTTGGGGGGGAAAAAAAATCAACAAATTGTAACTGGTTCACAGTCAACATTTGTACAGCTTTGTAAAGATTTTTTTGGAGGACCTAGGTGGCTTAATAGAAGGTCACGGGCAGAACAGGTTAGCCTGTGTCAGGATGTCCTGTGAATACTCCCATGAGTATCAAATTCGCCCCAGAACAGTACTCGCAAGCTTTCGAAGAACTTGTTTTTCCACTTTGTAGCCTGTTGCTCGCGCCTTCAAGCGTGCAGCCAGTTTGTACGCAACTGCCATGGTGTGGCTTGGCCTAAACTTATAACCTGTGCTTTAGCTAGACTCTCTTTTCTGTAATACTAACTGTAATTGGTCTTGGGTTCTGTTGTATGTGCTTGGTGTTTCTGTTCTGTTGGCGCAACGTATACAACAATAGGGTCCCTGTGCATGACCAGAACTCAAGGTTTAACAAGAATAATGACGAGAGTTGGCCAGATCTTATTGCCCTCTGTTTAACTAGTAGAGATAGGGAACATTATGGTCTGAGTGCGGATCACAGTAAGCATATTTTCAAAAGTTAGCAGCCCAACAGCCACACGCCATTGCTGTCAAAGCAGAAAGGCCAGGGAATGACTTGGAGATCCTAACCTTCCATTTCACCTTTGGAGGTCTTTCTAGCCTCTACTTGAAACACAGTGTGAAGCAAAGGAAATCTTTATTGCTTCTGTCTGTGATAGGAGTGGTCTCCATGTACTTGTGGAGGCTGGTAGTGGAAGCTCTCAGGCTGGTTTCTGCCATCAACAGTTTGCTCAGTGTTCTACAAGCTGGGTTTGTGCTGAGTGCTGTTGAGAAGGAGGTTCTTTAAGGATTGTGTGCAGCATTTCCTACAAGGCCATTAGGAGATGTTGGCAAAAATCTGTTTCATTGCTCCAGCAGTTTTGAGTTTCAACCATCTTTTAATTTTTCTGATTTTTTAACTGCAGATCAGCTGGAGCGTGTGTTCTTGCGTCTTGGCCATGCAGAAACAGACGAGCAGTTACAGAACATTATTTCCAAATTCCTACCCCCTGTTCTCCTCAAGCTGTCCAGCACACAGGAAGGAGTTCGTAAAAAGGTAAGGGTGCAATTCACCATAACAGTATGCTGTCCTGATCAGGGAGAAGGAAACACCCCTGATGTATCGTGCATGTATTGTGATTTACTGCACTTGGATGTTCCCTCTGGATAAGTTTACTCTTTGAGGAAATGTTGTTGTGAGCCTGGTAGAGCGTGGGTTTATTTACAACTGTTAGGGCTTAAAGAAAACAGTCATTGCTTGTATCAGAAAGGTCTTTTGCAGGTGTGTGGCTTTTGTGGATGTGTGGAGCCTGCGTTTGTTTTCATTTGAAGCCGGGTAGCTATGAGTTAGCCTGAGACCAGGATTTAATGCCATAGAGGCAGTTGCCATTGCTTCCAGGTTAGGGCTTTTCTGCATCCACCTGACTTACAGCACAGGTGGAGCAAGCTTGCTGCTGTGTGTGAGACCATGAAGACATACCCACTGATGTGGGAACGGGAGCAAGGACCAAACAACTTTGAAGATGACATTTGACACCTGCCTGAGGAAATTAAGTTCCCTGGTACAGAAGGCAGCTTTATCATAGGGTATTAAATTATTGAATTCCATCTCCAAAACAGTTTGGTCTTTTCCTGGCTACAGGTACCTGGGGAATTCAGTTCCATGTATTGGGTTGTAGGATAAAAGCTCATCTGCAGACCCACGGAGGAGCACAGAGACACAATAGCAAGTGCAGAAACCTGCCCCAGCTACTCAGAGGCCCATTGTAGGAGCCATTAGCCCATCAGATGCCCATCTCCACAAGCCCAAGGGAGCACAGAGGCACTATGGCAGGCAGGAACCCAAGTTAAGGACTCGGAGGAAAGGGCACCCTGTCCCGGTCCCTCCCAGGCCTGTCTCAGGAGACCCTTAGCCCCGCTGTCAGGACGTGAAACCCATCAAGATGAACCAATGCAAAAACACCTTTTGGACTGCTGCCTAGGGGTAGTGGACACAGTGGGATGCAGGGGAAGAGCATTTGGGGTTTGCACAAACCTTCTAAAGGGCTGTGTAGTGGAGGAACCAGAGGTAGTGTAGGAACCAGAGGCAGGAAAAGAGATGTACCTAGATGAATTTGAGGAGGAGCAAACCTGAGTCTCTAGGGGTGAAGCCCACTGGTGAATTTGTGCCTCTCCTGGTTGCACACTGGGTGTGGAGCTGCAGCAGCCTCCTCTCTGCTGGGCTGTTGGGCCTGGCCCTAGTTCCCTGACACCATGTACTGGTTGTTCCCTCTATTCCTGTGGCCAGTCAAGGGCCAGACAGTGTTGAAGGTGGAATTTAATATGAACATGAAATAATTCAGTGATGTACCAGGGACCTGAACTTTGATTACCAGCAGAACACACATAGGCCTATGTTCTTGCACAAGCCAGGTGCAACAGCAGTTGTGGGGTTGCATGAGGGGATCACTGACTTAGTGTTAGCGGTAGAAGAGGTCTGACCTGATCTGGATTCAGGCAGTGGAACACCTGCTTTTGTTTCCTGTTCAGCTGGGAGGATATGACTGGAAGAGAGAAATGGGGCAGGAGCAGCTGAATGTAAGAGATTTGAGCAGCTAGATCAGAAAGCCAAGAATGCTTCTTGTCCCTGCAGCTATTCATCAGAAAGAGCTGCTGGTGGTAGAGGTGGACTAGAACCTTTCTGAGCAGAGCACAGATGAACTGTTGGAGGTGGAAAAGCAGCTTTTTATAATCCCCTCTTTGTCTTGTAGACACAGGGAAATGGTCATGCCTTCACTGTATTTCTGAGTACATTTCAGAACCTACAAGTAACTAGAACACAGATTTTTCTGAAAGTTCTGCACAAAACATGGTCCTGGCAGGGATTACAGGAAAGTGGATCCATAGATGTGAAGCCGTTACATTGTGCTGAAGGACAGATACTCCCAACTCAGATGAAGGCTTCTTCTGAATACCTGCTCACCATGTGCACTTGAGGCTGTGAAGAAAGGCATCTAACCAGCTAGTGGAGTTTCTTAGGGTTTTTATGTTTTTTTTAACATAAACTGAAATGTGTTGTCTGGATTTGAGTATTGTGAGAACTACTCCTTTGAAAATTAAATTTTAAGAAGCCTCTCAAACTCACACAGTATTTCTACAGTATCTTGTAGCTTCTGTGTGAGAACGAATAATGAAATAAAACTCGTTTCTTCTTCTGCGTGTTTAAACTACACAATTTTTATCTGTACAAGATAATAGTAATATCTTAAGCAATTACAGCACTTCTCTGTACTTCTTGGTGTTTGTCAAATTCATTGGAGTCAAGGAAGTTGCCTTGAATTCTGCTCTTGCCGTATCAGTGAAGGGAAGCTGAGGTTTTGACTTTATTATGAAAACAGAATACTAACAAGAAGGCTCTGTACGTGTTGATCTTTTTTCTCTAGTATTTTTACATAGCAAAATAATTTATCAGTGAGACAGAGGGGAGGGGAAGACTGTCTTTTTTTATTTTAATGAACATCAGTGGAGATTTATGCACTGTGGAGTGTATAACCAGCAGGTAAATCTGTTCAACGTGCACACTGCCTTTTTCTGTTACTTACATCAAAACGCAGCTTTTCAATAAAAGTCTTAAGAAGACTGATGCATTTCAAATGCTAATGACTTTTAAATACCTAGCATTCCAGTGCTAATTTTGCCTGGTGGACAACAAAGAATGTGCTTATTATTCACCTCCAGCCTCGAAGTCATGTTAAGGCAATGTAAGTAAAACAAAAGCATATGTCCTTCTACATGACTACTCGGGTGACTGGAAACCTAATCTAATAAAGTAGGTGAAGTAGAAAGAAAAACTCTTTATTCATCCCATACTGACTATAGGCAGTGAAAAAACTGCCATCCCGTGTCATGTGTCTCTTGCAATTATTGTGGTGATCAAAATAAACCCCCCAAGAAAACAACAACAAAAAACCAGTGTGCCAGCATAGGTAATTGGGATTTGAAAACTGACAGCGTTTTAATGGAATTGGTGGTGTAGCTTTAGTAGTATAGGTATGTGAGCAAAATACAGCATCTGTGTGTTGCTAGCATGCTGCTGAATTGTAGATCAGTACAGTTGTGCACAGACTTGATTAACCCAGCTTCAGAAGCGCAGTGTAGTTCATTCAGTGCACCAGGTGAATCAGCTACACTTTGTAATTTTACTCTGGCTCCCCAGACTAAGTTTCACCTCAGACTTGTCCTCCTACAACAGAAGGGCAGAATTAAAATTCCTTTTTTCTTCCTGCTGCCTTAATATTCCTTTGTTGGTCTTACCCCTGCCCTTAATTTTGTGCCTGTCAGGTCAATATTACTGCAACATTCAGTAATTTGAATTCATCGTCCCCTTAGGTTTCCAGATCTAGGATTCAGTCTAGCTGTGTGGGTAAGCTTGCAATGCCTATACCTTCTTAATCCATTTACTCTGCGAAGGTAATCCTTCTTCAGGCTGTGGTTTGACAGGTGAGTTAAATTCAGCACCAGGATGTCTTCTACCAAATCAGTTATCCTAGCGGTGTCAGAGGAAGAACTAATCCAGGGTAAGCTCACTGTCGGTTCATATGTGCTCCAAGAAGTACTGGGGCACTGGCAGCATTTGTGCCAGACTGGATGCTGTGTCTCTTCATGCAGCCCATGTGAAGCCAGCAAAGACATAAGCAGCAGTCATACTCAGAAGTGCAGACATTTGCCCGATTCAGGCCAGATGAGTACTGCTCGGAGAGGCTCTTAGTGCAGAAATCGGGTTGTGTAGATTGGAAAAGCAGGACATGAGCTAAACCCTCACACTACTCAAATCCAGCCACGTCTTTTTTCACCAGCCACAGCGGGTGGTTTGGACAGGTTCCTCAAACTCTGTTGTAGTCTTACTTCTCTTCCTTCACAAAAAAGTGTGCAGGCAGGCTTTTTTCCCCTCTAAAATAATAGGAATTTGTGACTACTGTGTCGGTAATTTTGCAGCAGCAAAATTTGATGGCTGTCAGCATTACCTAGTTTGGCAGCTTATCTCTGGTCTCAATTGCATGCTTGTGGTCAGCTATGCAGTTTCTCTGGGTTACATGTGGACGTGATTTTGTTTGATAACTAGTCCGGGAGCGAATGCAAAGGTGATGTCTTAGCTCATATGCAAGCATATAGTTCTGTAGTTGCCACAACAAACCTCAGTGATGGCAGTTCAGCTGCCCCAGCAGGGCAGGGCTGCACGTTGCTCCTTGCCTGCCATTCGTGGGTCTCCTGATGGCTTCTCCTCCTCCCTGAATCATTTCAGTTCTGTGTTGTTCCACTCCAAAATTGGTCTTCATACACTTATTTTATAACTTTATCACGGGTGGGGTTTTTTCATGGTTGTTTTTTTTTTTGTTTTGTTCTGTGTAGTGAATTGGAGTTACTCTCCAGCCTCAAGATAGAGCAGCAGTGGGGATTTCCAAGCCAGGCTCAGTTTTGAGGGATAGTAACCAACAGTGTAGAAAGAATGGGTCATCCTCAATAACCATTTCTTCCAGGTATTTCTGTTGATGGAGGATATCGGTTGTGGAATGGTTTGGGACTTTCCGTGTCTTTGTCTTAACAGTAACTTGAGACATGTGAGAATGGTTCCGGGATAACACAATAAATGATGGCTGCTGTTTTCTTAGAGATTAAATAATTGGGAGGCTTGGCCTATTTTCTTATATAAACCTGCCTAGTGGACTGAGGGTGATGTGTGGAGTCCAAAGTAGTAAAATTAATGGTGGTTCTTCTAAGTTTTCTGCTTTTCTTCTTGTCAGGTCATGGAGCTGCTGGTGCATCTGAATAAGCGCATCAAAAGTCGTCCAAAAATTCAGCTTCCAGTGGAGACGTTGCTAGTTCAGTATCAAGATCCTTCAGCAGTGTCTTTTGTCACTGTAAGTACTCTTCTTCCAGGCATAGTGGCTGATACACTGTAACAAGCAGAACATTCTTTAAAGCACCTGTATTTAGCTCTGTCAGTTTTCTTAGCAAGTCTGTTACTGTCATGAGGCTCATATTCTAAGAGATTCTTCTTAAACAACTTCATAGTCTGTTGTGGGTGAAACTTAGTTTCATAAAGCAGCTGCACTATTGATTCTGTTCAGATTACTGATAACTAATGAATGCATGAATTGTCATTGCTCGTATTGTAGAGGGTCTGTTCATTGTTAGAACTTCATTTTGCAAGCAGCTACCAAACCTTATCCTGAGAAGTGCAGGATCAGGGTTTTACTTAAAACATCTGTATTTCTCTGAACACTGAGAACTCGTATGTGTATGTGTTTTTAGGGTCAGGGCCTTAGCTGAGCACGAACAGATGAAAAAAAGATGTATTTTACAGATGAGGAAACTTTGCTGGGGGTTTTCATTCAGTGTCGTTTAAAATGTGAAAATAGTTTAAAAATGTTTTTGTAAAACTATGAAGACAATTCTCATTTCAGCTGTGATAGATCTATTGCAAATCACCATATTGAAAAAAAGTGATAAAATCGGAGGGGAATTTTCTGGCCTTCTCTTTTGACTGTTCAGTGGAAAACACAGCATCTTAGAAACGGATGGAGAAATATTTAGACTTTAAACAGCAGTTACATGGAAGTAATCTTAAATTGTCTTTAAGCAAGTGTTCACCTTTTAGCAGTGGCCAAGAGCTTCTAGTGTGCGTGTGTTCCGTAGAGCGATAAAAGAACCATCTTGTTTGATGACAAACTTGACATAAACAGTGCTTTTGGCTGGACACGTCAGAAGTCTGTTTTCATTCATGTACCTGAGTGATGCATGTTGTTTTGTGCTGTGAGGCTTTGTAAAATTTTAACAGGTGCCATCTTAAGAAGTGTAATGCTTTCCACTTCAACACTTCTTTCAGCCAGGTCGTTGAGCACATGACTCTTATCTCGAGAGTTCTTGGCTGGATTTGGATCAACATGGCAGCAGTTTGATAGTCCAGTGTTCAGTATTGTTCTGCTCTGCTGTCCTGTCACTGGACTCTGGATTGCATTTGCAGCTTTGATTTACGATGATTGAGAAACACATTTTCAAGAGAAACCTTGCATATACTGCTGAGTTTGCATTTATTCGATATTGCTTTCTAACTTATTTCAGAAATAGGTAAGAGAGAACATTACATTTGCTTTCCTTGAAGCTGTTGCTCAGATGAAGCTGCTTTTGGTGAAGTTGGCAGTGGGGAAGAGAAGCTAGAGAGGGGGTTTTGCATTGTTGTTTTCCTCCTTTTGAAGTGGAGGCTCAGCAAGACCTACTCAGAAAACCCTTCCTGAGCAGGTCTTGTTGAGCTGCTTCTTTAATAGCTGTCAGTCTAATGAGCCTTAGAATTATGAAATTGGTGTTCCAAACCGTGTGTTGTTTCCAGCACCCAAAGATGCAACACAGCATACAGAAGGAGTTTAAAGGAGAGATGTTTCTTTTGCACTGTTGCAATACTGTGTGCTTCTTCTACTCCTTCAGAACTTTACCATAATTTATGTGAAGATGGGATATCCCCGTCTGCCTGTGGAAAAACAATGTGAATTGGCTCCAACTCTTCTCACTGCAATGGAAGGGAAACCTCAACCACAGCAAGACAGGTATAAGACACTTGTTCTTGGAGTGAATTCTGTTGGTATTGTTTCAGTAAAATAATTTCTATCAGTTGCTAGAAGACTTTTTTTTTTTTCCCCCCCCTCCCTTGGTGATATCTTCATTGCTTAGGATGTTCTTGGTTTGTACAATCTGGATCAGCAATCCAGTAGTTTGGGTGGTACAAAGAACTCATACAGACTAATGTTTTAATAATCTACAGGATCTGCAGCGGTATGGTAAGAGGCCTGTGTTGTAATGGATATGCTTGTGCATATCTGCTATCCATCTTCCTCAAATTCTGTTTTCCAGCTGAAGGACAGACCTTCAGTAAATGTCCAACAACAGGAACAGCAGTAAATATCTCAGATTGGCCACTTTGGGCAATAATCAAAATTCCTACTCACTTGAAACACTAAGTTGTAATAATAAGAAAATACTGAAGTTAAGAACTGCTGTGTACTAACTTCTAGAAAGCTGTTCATTATGGACCTGCTGCTTATTTACATTGAGCTGCGTTTCCACCGTGCTGGCACTGGAAAATGGCGTTAAAATCTGATCTTCATTCACTCTACATCCCTGTGACAGTGTTATGGCATTTTAAAAATGAACTTACTGAAAGGTCTTGTTGTAAAATCTTGCATCCATTCATGAGGTCAGTGTCAAAATACTTGATTGTCTTCTCTGAGACCATAATTTTGCCCTGTCCAAAAGGCAAGTAGATGAATAAAGAGAGCTTTGAGAAATCTGGCTGTGCTGGTGCATAGTCGGTACGTTCGTCTGTGTGCACTCTTTGGTAAAGCTGGATGGTATTGATCAACTTCTGTTCTTGGCAGACTCAAATGTAAAACTTCACATTTCTTACGGATGAGCCAGCACTAGACAGAATTTTATGGCAGAATTATGAAACATTAGAAGCCTGGACAAAGACAGTGACTTTAACACTCCAGGTGTGTGTGTGCATGCACGCAGACATATATGTTCTATTTTAAGCTCAAATCCTGATTTGTCTTCTGCCTTCTATTTTTAAGTACATCAGGCAGCAAGTAGAGGCCACTGGATTGTGAATCAGTTTAACTTTTGTTGAGGTTGTTTTTTCTGCTATTAAGGATCTGGTTTGTTAAAGGTTTCTCTTGAATGTTAAGAATAAACAGGTGTGTTTTTTTTAAATGGTTGCAGTAAATATAATTGTTTTTCAGCCTAATGCATCTTCTAATACCAACCCTTTTTCACATGAAAAAACACTGAAAGCAGCAGCTTCTCCATTTAATCTTGCTGAAAAACCAAAGACTGTTCAGCTGCTTTTGGACTTTATGTTGGATGTTCTTCTTATGCCTTATGGGTAAGTTAGAGTTAATACTGGTCTTCTCCAGTATTGATATATTCCTCATGTGTGAACCATTATAGATTATACCCTTGGAGACTCATTTAAAATATGCTGTTATTTCCTGACTCATATGAAGCTGCATGTTTCAGTAAGGTACAAATCGAGGTGCTAATCTGACTAATGGGATCACCATTTTCCTTATTTAATAAAACATCTTTTTTTCTACCTAATTAGGTGTTGCTCTGTTCTGTCCTTGACCTCTTTTGGGATCAGTGTGAAGCTATGAGACATGTGAGCTATCTGTTAAATAACCAAAGCTTTAAAATAGAAGCCAGATCAAAACGTGCACTCATCTTCCTGCCGTTGAGTTTTAAAGCTTATTTCTCCAAGGTCATAGGCAAGCATAGTCTCTGAAAACTTGTCCAGAAGTGAACCTTTAGTAACAATATTTGTCTTTCATCTGTCTTCCGATGAAAACTGTTTTCACTGTAATGCTGTGTCTTGGTGTGAGCACTGTTTCTGAGAGCAAGAATGATACACAGAGCAACTTGAATTTACTCATCTCGGCTTGTTAGGAATACTCTAGTGTCTAAAATTTTCTCAAAATCTATTTTCCAGTAACTTTTTTGGTGTCTTTGTATTGCCGGGGGAGCTTTTGCTTCGAAAGAAGATAGACATGATTTTCACAGTAGAACACATTTCTCTTTTCTGGCAGTTCATTGGTTCCTGTAGGATTTTTCAGAGCACCTAACTCTTGTTTACCCAAGTGTATTAACCTAAAGGAATGGCTTTTAAAATAGTGAGTGGGTGCTGTTTCTCCATGGCTGGAGGCCACGCTCCCATCAGATGTTTTGGAGGCCACTTCTGGCTATTTGGGCGTGTAGGGTCTTGCAGCTTACGCCGCAAAATGCTTAAGCTGCTCCTCTGTTCACAGCTCACTCTTCAGTTTGCCCGGGTTTATGCTCTTAGCTTCAACCCCCTCACTGCTGTGGCTGTAGCTTCAGCAGATGAAGTCCATGGGCTTTGCAGTGAGACTTCACTTCCTTCCCTTCTTTGGTACTCTGGACAAGCTTTAAATGCTCAGAGGGACGAGGAGGGTAGGGATGAAGGTTTTGGTTCCTTTCCAGAAGGTGCTCGGGGAGTGTCTTCAGCTAGACTGTGGCTCTGCACGTCTTGCTCCCTGGGGCGAGACCGTTTGCAGTGGTTTACAGCTAATGTATGCCTGCTAGAACTCTTTCTGTCATTGCCCAGTTGTGAATTAGCCTTGCCAGTCTGCAGGCAGTAAAGCAACCAGAAAGCCTAACTGTAGGACTTAAAGCACATAATCCAGTTCAAGTGTTTAAAGTTTTAGCTAATGAGACTTGGGATGAATGTTTATCCCTACTGTGGAGACTGTTTAACTTCCTTTTGTGGCTTGTGTGCTGAAGGCAGAACAGATCATGGCAAAATAATTCTTGTTGGTCTCTGCATTACAGTTTTGATGCCTTTGTGGGTTGACTGGCTTCCAAGGATACGGAGAAGTGGAGGGGCATATGGACACAGGGGAGCTAGGCTAGCCAGCCTCCAAGAAGACTAAGATCTATAAACATAACCTTTATGGCTTTTGCTTTCCTTTGCTGCCCAGCACTAAAATTGCCTTTTCCCAACACGTCCTATTTATTTACTTTTTTATATCAAAGATTATTTCCTGCTGCTTCATCGTGTTGTGTATGCTTCATTACTTCCCTTGCTAGGTTTGTTTCCTTCATGGAGATCATGCAAACATTAAAGCTTTTAGTACAAGTTTTTCAAATGTAGCTCTGTCTGAGTATTCACTTCTAATACAAAAGAGATTGTTCTTTTTGCTTTGTAACCAGAGATAACTCTCATCAGAAATGCCAGTGGACTCTTCCTAACGGAGGTTTTTTCCGAACAGTTACAGTGAGATCATTATGGCTTTTGCAGGATATGCTGGGATAACTTGTAGCTGAGTCTCAACTGAGTATAATTCTGTCTTGTCAATCATTGGATTAATTAAAGAAGAGTACGTGAAGTTGGACAGGTTGTGCTTATTCCTCCATTCCAGCATCTAATTCAGTTGACAATGTGGATTGAGTGAAACTAATGAAGCTTCTTTCCTACCTATTCAGGTTTGTACTGAATGAATCTCAGAGTCGCCAAAACATGCCTGCAGCCCAGGGCTCTTCATCAAGTAGCGTGGGAGGTCCTGGAATTCCTCAGCCGCCTCCAGGGATGAGCTTTTATGCAGCCAAAAGGGTTATTGGAGATAGCCCATGGACACCAGAGCTGCTAGAACAGGTACTTGCAGCTGCAGGGTTGCTCCTCGGTGAACTGTGGGAGGTAAAAGGGATCGCTACAGGCAGAGGAGCAGAAGCCCAAAGGGAAAATACGTAACTAATTCTGACCAGGTCTTTAGTTGCCCTGAGGGAACTTAAATTGAGGGACTTTGCATGATGGCTTAAGGAGCTTTGCAACGGTGAGATGGGGTGGGAGGTGCCAGCAGTTTGCAGAGATGGTTAGGAAGCAACGACTTCCTCCTAAAGATAATAAGTTTGCAGAACTCTCTAATGTCTATGAACTGCCCCTTTTGAGCAGTGAAGTAGCAGGGCATCCCTGTTTGTAATGCAACTTAGCCGCAGGTGACTGCTTTGGTAGGAGGCCAGATAGAGCGCTGGTGAGGAGGAGAAGCAAGCAGAAGCCATCATTTCAGACAGCTGAACTGCTGTGATTATTGTAACATACTGCTTTCTTGTCAGTAACACTGCCTTTACCTTCCCCCTTGCTGAGCAGTGTAAGCTGGGGATAGTGAAGTTCATCGAAGCCGAGCAAGTGCCAGAACTTGAAGCTGTTATACACCTGGTTGTAGCCTCCAGCGATACACGACATAGTGTTGCCACGGCAGCAGACCTTGAATTAAAAAGCAAACAAAGGTAAAAGTCTGAATGTCTGGAAAAGACGATGCTAGTGTTCCTCACTAAGCTAGCTGCAGTTAATCTGAAAGGAGTAAGGAAGCAGTCCCCTGCAAAGCTCTCGTGTGCTGTTTGAGTTGGAACACAACTTTCTTCACAGTGGCTGGTATGAAGCTGTGTTTTGGATTTGTGTGAGGCTGTGCTTTGGATATGTGTGGAGAAGAGTACTGGTAACAGTGGTGTCCTTGTTGTTGCTGAGGAGTGTTTGTACCAAGTCCAGCACTTCGGTTTCTGATGCTGCCCCTGTGTTCCCAGCTTCTTCCCTACAAGCAACTGGGAGGGGACACAATCAGGACGGCTGGCCCGGACTGGCCACGGAGTATTTCACTCCATGAAACATCATGCTCAGTGTATGGGTTGGGGATTGGGTGAGGGGTGGGCTCTCTCTCTCTCTTTCTCCCTCCCCCGCTCTCTCTCTTGGTCAGTCGGTGGGTGGTCAGCAGCTGTACCATTTGTTTTCTTTTCCATTACTTTCATTACACAGTACTGATAGTCTTACTGCTGTCATTATTGTATTTCATTTACTTTCAATGATTAGATTGCTCTTCTCTCAGCTCACGAACTTCCTTTTCTCGAGAATGTGGGAGGTGAGCGAGGGCTGTGTGGTTGCTGGCTGGGATTAAACCACAGCACATGTATTCACATGGGGCTGGGAATGGTGTGGCTCACAGTCTTGCAGCTGGGAACATCACTTATCTTGGGAGCTGACAGCTTTAGCTGTCTGTTTTCAATCATCTTTGGTATTGCGTTTGAGCCGTTTTCTTACTCCTTGGTTTCCAGATTGCCCTCTGTGTTATCAGTGGTCAATAAGGCCTTAGTAAGGGATTCCTATCTGATCAACTGTCATATATTGACTTTCCCAGGAAAGCAGCCACTGTTTTCTGCGTTATTGAAGCTTTTGCTCACCTGCAGTCCACCTTTAATCTTCTAAAGACAATGCTTCTGTCTTTAAGCTACCAAGAGGCCAGAGTAATTGCTGTTGATACTCTTTGCTGAGCCATTGATCGTGTGAGGTTTGCTGGCTCATGCAGGAGGTTGGAGCAAGAGAGGCCTGCCTTTGAAATGTGTACGTGGGCTCTGTATTGCTGGAAGTATAGGACTATTTCACTTGGAGTCAATTACGTAATGTGACACCATCTCCATTCAAGCCTATTCATGTGCCTCAGTCATGGCTACGATGATGATCCTAGTCAGTGATGACAGCCTCCTTAAGGAAGGCAGTCTCTCCTTTGCTGCTTTTCTCATCTTTCCTTTTGTATTGGTGGTGTTTGCCTGGAGAGCAAAATACCTGTGTGGACAAAACATGTATTTTGGTGAATACGCAATGATGTTAAATGTCTTTTTACGAGAAATATGTGCTATTTAACAGCTCGCTTATGTGGAAACCAGTTGCTTTACTAAAAGAAAGAGATGGTTCCATCTCCTCCGCTTTTTTGAAGCGTGCATGCCTATCTTGTTGTTTTCTGTGGTGTGTTTTTTGGGTATGCGTGTCCCCCCCAGACAATCTCATCAATAGCTAGCATTAGATCGTTACCGTACGCAGACAGGTTTGTTGGAGACACCAAGATGCAGCAGTCCTAGAACTAAAAAACCCTCTTCTCTATTGAAATGTCAAAGCACTGAGGTTGAAGAATGTGGAGAAATATGTTAACAGATAACAGGTCTGTATTCAGTCAGTAGACTACCATGGTATATGTCTTGTTTCAGTGGTAGAGAAGGGATCATGTAGGTTTGTCATAAATCATTTGGAATTATATTGTCAGAATATGCAGCTGAAATGTGTAATCACTTCATGTTCTTTGTGATTATGTGGATGGGGAGGAGTGATTAAAAGTCAAACTATACCTGTTAAAACTCTGGGAGGAATAGGAATATGATGTGAAATGCTGTAAAACACATATGTTAAAAAGTAATCAAAGATTGGAATCATATCGTGTTGATATTAATTGTGTTTTTTTCTTTAGTTTAATTGACTGGAACAATCCTGCTATCATCAATAAAATGTATAAAGTGTATCTTGGGGATATACCACTGAAAACCAAGGAGGTAAGACTTGCCTTCAGAGTTGTGTACCTGCTTCATTTCTGAAGCTGTAATTTTAGTTACTTTATTTTCTTTGGAGAAGACAAATATATACATTTCTTAAGTCTATCACTTCTTTTGGTCTCTGCTTTCACTGAACATTTTGCTGTTGAATAATCTTTTTTTCTCTGTCTTGGTGTGTTCTGATCTGCAATAGAAGGTAATTTAGCTAACTTAAAAGTACTAATGTCCAAAGCTGCACTATATTGTTTCAACTCTGCTTCTGACAGGGATCTGTTCTGAAACCAGAAATGAAACGAGAGTCAGTCAGCACCCGTGTTAAATTAAAGATAGTCCCTCATCTTCTGCGATCCAGGCAAGCTGCAGAAACATTCCCAGCTAATATTCAGGTAATGCTGATGTTCCCAAGCTGCTCTTCCTAATGACCTTGGTAATACAGTCACCCCAGGAATTAGGGGACAGAAGCATTGTTACTGATGACTGTTTAAAGAACAGAGGCATTAGAAAAACCTTTGAGAGTGAAGCCAGACACTCTCTGATCGGCTCCTTATTCCTTTTGGCTAGGTGGTTTATGATGGACTCTTTGGCGCAAACACAAATGCGAAACTGAGAAGCCTGTCCCTGCAGTTTGTGCATCATATTTGTATCATGTAAGTAATTCAGAGTGAACACAACCTGTTTTAGCTATTTGCCTAGAAGGCAGTCAGTTTACTAAATACATAACTGAACTAAGGGCAAAGGAAGATTGCTAAACAGAACAACCAGACGATCAGGTCCAGACAGCATTGGTTTATGAACAGCAGGTCCTGCTTAGCTGACCTTTTGTGACCAGGTGACCCACTTAGTGGATGAGGGAAAGGCTGTGGATGTTTTCTACCTAGAGTTTTGTAAAGCCTTTGACAGTGTTTCCCCCAGCATTCTCCTGGAGAAACTGGCTTCTCATCGCTTGGATAAATATCTTCGCTGGATGAAAAACTGGCTGGATGGCTGGGACCAAAGATTGGTGGTGAATGGAGTTAAATCCAGCTGGAGGCCAGTCACAAGTGGTGTTCCCCAGGGCTCAGTGCTGGGGCCAGTTCTCTTTAATGTCTTTATCAATGACCTGAGCAAGGGGATCGAGTGCACCCACAGTCAGTTTGCAGAGACGCCAAGCTGGGTGGGAGTGTTGATCT